GAGAAGAAGTAAGGCAAGTGCTATTGAACCCCATGCCTGGCCCAGAAAGCAGAGTGTGGATCCTAGGGAAGGCTGGGATGAAGGTGAGGCAGGATACAAAACCCAGGAGTTGAGTACCAGCTCCATCCTTGCATCGTGCAGCAGCCAGCCTGGCATAGCCTACAGTGTTCTTACTGGGGCTGTGGTCAGAATGTTTCTCCTTTAAAAACTTACCCTGAGGGCTGGAGAGTTGGCTCAGTGGTTAAGAGCATTTTTTTTTCTTTTGTTCTCGCGAAGGACCTACGTTCATTTTTCAGGACCCACATGGAGGCTCACCACTTCCTCAGGCACCAAGCATGCATGTGGTGCACAGACCTCATATGACTAAAATAAATCTAAAAGAAAAAATTGAAAGAAAAACCTACCCTAAGGTGACAGCATTTGGAGGTGGGTTGCTTGGAGGTCAGGAGTGTGGAGCCCTCCTGAAGAGCATCAAGGCCCTATTGCCAGGTTTAGATGTACCCAAGAGTCACCATATCAGAAGGGGAGGGCTTCACCCAGACACCAGCTGTGCTAATGTCTTTGACTGGGAGCAATAAATGTTACAGTTTACAAATGATTCAACCTAAGGTATTAGGCCGTAGCACCAGAAAGGGGCTGACACACCCAGATATCTGGATAACTCTGCAACTTGTTAAATCCCAACCTGACTTCTCACCTTGGCATCTTTATCATCTTTTCCTTGTTAAATTTTCATCTTCCTGTCCATTCTTATATTTTCAGATTTGTTTTTATTTAAAATTATATGTATATGTGTTCTATTGTGTGTGCAAGAGCCTCCCGGAGTTCAGAAGAGGGTGTTGAGTCTTCTAGAACTGGAGTTACAGGTAGCTATGAGCCACTCGATGTCAGTGCTGGGGTCTGAACTGGGTCCTTTGCAAAAACCTACGGACTTTTAACCATTGACATTGTTTTTTTTATTTTTAAGATAATAATTGTCTCTAATACTACTTTTGGGTATATATCCAAAGGATGCTCAATAGTGCCACAAGGACATGTACTCAACTATGTTTATAGCAGTGTTGTTTGTCATAGCCAGAACCTGGAAACAACCTAAATGCCCTTCGACTGAAGAATGGATAAGGAAAATGTGGTCCATTTACACAATGGAGTACTACACAGCAGAAAAAAAAGACATCTTGAATTGTGCAGGAAAATGGATGGAACTAGAAAACATCATTTTGAGTGAGGTAATCCAGACCCAGAAAGACAATTATCACATGTACTCACTCATAAGTGGTTTTTAAACATAAAGCAAAGAAAACCAGCCCACAAATCACAATCCCAGAGAACCTAGACAGCAATGAGGACACTAAGAGAGACTTACCTAGATCTAATCTACATGGGAAATAAAAAAAAGACAAGATCTCCTGAGTAAATTGGGAGTATGGGGACTTTGGGAGAGGGTTGAAGGGGAGGGGAGAGTCAGGGAGAGGAGCAGAGAAAAAGGTAGAGATCAATAAAAATCAATTAAAAAGGAAACTCTATACAAAGGCAGGGGCTTAGTTCCATTCCGGATCTCAGTGCCTAGCACACAGGAGGCACTAAAGACACACTTACGTAGGGTCTGAATAAATAAACAAATGTCCTCTCACAGTTCCACCTTCCCTGAATAAAGGATATTTCTCTTTGTTGTTCGCGCGTGGTGTGCCCTGCTAGCCTGGCTCTGAGCATGGGCTGCTGAAGATATTAGGACCTAGAAAAGCACTGGGCTGCTGGAGGGCTAATAGTGGACGCTGCCCCCGAAGTTCAGGCTGAGACAGACAGCTTAGCCTCTCTCTGGGTGGGAATCTCAGCTCATGCTTGGTGCTTGGCCACCTTCAGACCCTCTAATAGGTCAGGAGAGGAATGCGGAGCCTGGGCAACACGCCTGGAGTGTGGATGGAATTTATTGCGCCGAAGGCTTCCTGAGTTTTAAGGCCTTGCACTATGTGAATAGCAACTCACATACTTTCGTGGGGGTGGATATAAAAAAACCCCACCCCAATCAAAACCCACAGGAAACAATGTGGGGAGAGCTGGAGGTGGAACGTGGAATGTACACAATGCACGGGCCAGAGCCCAAGCAAGCACAGCAGGGGGAAGGGCCAAGCTAACCTAGGGCCGTCCAGAGTTTAGAGCATTGCATTTGAACTTCAGTACCAGGGCAGGGAAAATGGAAGAGAAAGATGGAAGAGAAAAGGTGGTAAGGGCCACTCTTCCATACAGGCCTGCCACAGATGCTATATGCATTTCCTGCTCGCTCTACAGCAGGGGTTCTTAACCTGTGGGTCGATTCCCCAACATATCAGATAGCCTGAACAGCAGATATTTCTGTCACGATTTATGACAGTAGAAAAATTACAGTTATGTAGTCGCAATGAAATAATTTATTTTATTTTACGGTTGGGGTCACCACAGCACGAGAAATTGTATTAAAGGGTCACAACGTTAGGAAGGTTGAGAACCACTGGTCTCGGTTCTGGCTTGTGTTCTTTCAAAGGGGGGAGGAGTTTAAATAGGGGCCTCCTTCCAGCAGAGCCGGCTAGGCTCTCCCGCCATGTCCGCTGTGTGCCTTTGCAAACACTGTCAGAATATGGTAGAGACGGGAATGGATGTTGAGAGCTGGTAACTGTACCGTGTAGTCAGCCTTACCCAGCAGCCTGTCTTGTCCTGCACTTCAATATCATCAGCACCCCCTTTTAAAGATCAGTGAGTCTTAAACTGGGGGATGCCCTTCAGAGAATTGTTCTGGGTAACTGGGGTAAGAGAGTTACCGTCTGCACTGTGCAATGGTCAGATAGCTGTTTGAGAGGGCCCATCTTTGCTAAACTCAGAATTTCCTCCAAGGCAAAACGAAAAAGCCTGCTCTGAGGCAGAACAAAAAAGTCTGCTACCCAGCCCCCGCCCCCTCCTATCCCAAACATGCCTTCTATCCACTGACCCTTCTGCGATGGCCAACAGGTGGGCAGGAGCTTCTTATCTGGGGTCCTGGGGCCAAGGCTGCTTATCTCAGCCCCTACTAAGGCCATCCTGTCGAACTTACCACGTACTACAGAGCAGAGCAGAACTGAGCTGGGACAGTCTGGGAGGGCAGAGCCCCAGAGCAACTCTGGCACCCCGAGCTACCGCTGTAGGGGCATCCCACAGACACAGACTCTACTTGGCCCTGCGGCCCTCGGACAGCCCTATTAATAGCTCAGCTGCAAGCCCTGCCTTCTTCAGAGCTTCCGTTTCACTTGCACCAGATCTGGCTGTCCCTGTGGGGACAGCTTCCTTGCAAAACAAACAGCAGAATCAATATTTCTTTCACCAGGGGAGGTGTAGGGTCTGTGGACTGTAGGCCGGGCCCGTTTTTACTTCCCTTGGCCTGGGCCTGAGCCTGGGAAGGGGAAACGAAGGCCACCAGGGCCTTTCTGCCTCCATCTAGCAATCTGATTACATTAAATTTAGCGTACATTTACCACTAATCTTCAACGTGTCAAAGCCAGCAAAGGCCAGGAGGAGACGAGGATGAGTAAGATGTACCCTGGGTCTGGGAGTACACACATGCTCAGGAGATGGAAGCCAGGACACAGACACATAAATCAACAGCTACAATAGACCATAGAAGTGGGCGGTTGCAATAAGGCTGGAGACCCAGAGCCTGAAGTACCAGGTCTCTAAGCATAGCCCTCCATCCTCCAATAACCAGAGCATCCCGAGTGAGTCAGTTTCTCTGGGGTTGAGGGTGAGGGTGATGTGTGCTCCATTGTGTGTGTGTGTGTGTGTGTGTGTGTGTGTGTGTGTGTGTGTGTGTGTGTGT